TTAATTTTTTAAGAATAAATCCAGGGCCAGCTGTATACGTATTAAAATTTCAAACACCGTCTGTCTTGAGGAACTGAAGCAATACCATCATCGTCCCAATGTAGGGCAAGGAAGGTGCTGTGATAGAGCTACTGTATTGCGGGAGGAGTGAAGGTCGTTTCCCTAAAGTGCAAGATCTGAAGGAAATTAATGAAAGTGGAGTGGATTTGTCAGCGATGAGCAGAGGAGAAACAAGTGATACAATTCCATTGTAATCTTTCCTCCCATCTTTAATTATAGTGAATATTTATCATTTTGAGAAATCAGGAGAATTTCAGATGGAATATTTTCAAAGAAAACTGCCAGATGTCTCACTGCATTGATTGTGACATTGCTTTGCTGTCCAACAATGTTGAAGTCATCTATTTAATTGGAATTTCCTTCCTGACATCTTTAGATTGCTGTATTCTGGGATGTGTGGGTATTCAGCCTGTGGTGAGTATAAGAAGACTTTGGGCCAAGATTATTTTTTTAACCCTTTATAGATCGACTCAAAGCACAATATGTTTTCCCTCCTTCATTCCTGAAGACATTGATTCATGTTGGGCTGCAGTCTCATGTGCTGGCCAGCCTCCAGGACCTCAGCCATGGCAACATCACCCCTTTCTGTTGAAGATCTTTTGAATTATGCTGGGGTACAATTCAGTAGCTGCTATAGCAGCCCTTAGGTATTTTTGGTTATTAACAATAATAATAATCCTTGCATTTGATATAGCACCTTATCACCTCTTTGAGACATCTCAAACACTTCACAGAATATATTGTAAAGTGAATTGACTGCATATTTTGTGGGCTGCCAATTGTGACAGCAGTGTCCCACAAACAGTTGTGGATTGAGTGACCAAATTATTAGGTTTAAAAAATGTTTTAAGGGATTATTACCCACGGAAAAGCTATCCGACAATTGACTAAAAAGCAGGTTCCTACTTACTGGAAGGGTTAACAGAGGCGTGTGGAGTTAGAAAACTTTCCCAAAGTTTCATCCTGCCTAGGAATCGAGCCCAGGTCCTTTCAACAACAAGAACAAGATTGCATTTATAGAGCGCCTTTCACGTCGAGAGGATGTCTCAAGGCGCTGGACAGTTGGGTCGGGACCCAAGCAGGAGCGAACTGGTCAGGGCTAGGGGAGGGAAAGGAGGGAGCGAGGAGGGGGTAGAGAGTCGAGAGAGGAGGTGAAGGCAGGGTTGAAGAGAAGGCGAGGCGAGTGCTCTAACCACTATGCTACAGGGTTCCACACCAGAACACAGGCTAAATGGCATGTTAACAACTGCAACAAGTTGGCAGGAAGGTCATGGATCAGGCCAAGAGCATAAACTCACTTAAACAGCTTGCTGATGTGATGGGAGGATGTAGGGTAGGTATTCCGGAGGGATGAGATTAGATGGGCCAAAGGGCCTTCTTCAACCAAACCAATCTTGTGATCATTAAGTCTAAGCTTTGAATTTTAGCAGTCTCTGTGGGGGCAAATTTCAACAACAACTTCAATAACAACTTGGATTTATATAGCACCATCCACACCGGATGGGTCTCAGAGCTCTTCACAGTAATGGATCCCAGGCCCGAGCCAGGGGGAGGGAGAGGAAGGTGACCAATGTGCAGTCAAAAAGAAAGGTCTTCAGCCGAGACCTGAAAATAGGAAGAGAGGAAGCGAGGCGAAGGGAGTGAGGAAGGGAGTTCCAGAGTCTCAGGGCACAGTGGCTCAAGGCACGGCCGCCGAGGGTGGAGCGGAGGACTTGGGGGACAAGGAGGTCAGTGGAATGAAGGCAGTGGGCACTGTTGTGAGGAGAGAGGTCAGAGAGGTTTCAGAAATTTCAGTCAAGTCCTGTTGTTATTCGATGTACACACACTTAGTTTTCTGATGGTGCCTCTAGATAGTGATCAGAAGCCAGAGAGAGAAAACTAGAAATACCCTTCTTAGCCCCATAGTAATAAAATTAATTGTAGTATCTCTTGTTATCCTGGTTGAATTCTGTTACCTCAGCACGGCCTGGAATTTGAATTTGGCTATCTACTCTGTATGTCTTGTCTCTTGGGAAGTGCCAACAATTGTCCTTTTTTTTATTTTTACATGTATGGCTTATTATGCCATTTAGTATGTGTTCTGTTCCAATAGAATGAGTGGGAAAATGTAAATTATAAACATCTGTGTGAAAACACAATGTTTTAAAATTAGAGGATTTTTAACAAAAGTGACCACTGAAGCTAAAATGCATGGTAGTTGGAACTAAAATCCAAATGAAAAATAAACTTCAATAAATTTGAAAACGTGAGTAAATGCACAATATTATTCTTGGTAATATTCTTGAGTGTTTGCCAAAATTATACTTTACTTTTTTTATTAAATTATTAAATTAGGTTATTTTTAATGGCTTTCCATGCTCATTTAATTGATTCATCTTGTTTATTATTTTTATTGTACTTTAAAGATTAAAATCGTTTTCATCACAACGACTCTTTTGTTTGCCTTCTTCACATAAGTTTCTTTACCATAAGTTTACCTCTATATAAAAAAATCCTACTACTTGTTTAATCACTAATGCCATATACAATTCAATATTCTAAGGAGCAATAAAGTACAGAGCAGATTTTGTAAAAGGTGAGTCCTGGCTCCCCATTCCTCCTGTCAACAGGAGAGCTCCAGGACGCTACCCCGCGTGAAGGGCGATATAAGTGCAAGTTGTTGTTGTTGTGGTTTGTGTATACCTTACCCCAAATGCAGTAGAAAACCTTGTGCGTGCGTTTGTCACCTCCGGCCTGCATTACTCAAAGTCAGTCCTCGCCGATCTCCCCAGCTCCACTATTCAAAAAATGCAGCTCATTCAGAACTCTGCCGCCTGCATAATGACCCGGACCAAACCCCGAACCCCCATCTCAGCAGTTCTGGCCAAGCTCCACTGGCTCCCCATCACCGAACGGATCAACTTCAGGATCCTCACGCTCGTGTTCAAATCCATTCAGTCCCTGGCACCACCCCACCTCTCCGACCTCCTCACTCCCGATCCACCAGCTGACGCCTCCGCTCGACCGGCACCGGCCTCCTGTTCTTCCCTCTGCTCCACCATTGGAGTTCATGCTTTCAGCCACTACTCACGGAAACCGTGAAACACTCTCCCTCAACCCCTCTGCCTTGCCACCTCTCTCTCCTTTTTCCAAGTCCTGCCTGAAAACCTTCCTTTTCGACCGTGCTTACAGTCATCCTTCCCCCTCCCACCCTCCCCCCTCCCCCCCACCGCCGCCGCTGGCTGGGAGTCAGGCTCCGCCACTGTTAAGCGCTCTGAGACGTTCTCCTGGTTCACTCCGGGGAGCGTGCATGTCCCACACCCAGCCACGGGGAAATCTTCAGGTGTGATCGGCGTACGCAGGTGGCGCTCTCAGTCGGGCTTGGATACTCCTTCGGAGTCGTGATGGGTTTCACACACACAACACACACAACACCGGGGCTGAGCAAAAAAATGAACTCGGTTTTGAGGGATCACTTCTTGAATCAGTGGGTGGTGGAGGCGGGTGACAGACAGCTCCTGATCTGGGCTGGTGGTGGGGGGGGTGTGTGTGTTGTAGGTTGGGGGGGGGGGGGGGGTGACAGACAGCTCCCGATCTGGGCTGGTGGGGGGGGGGGTGTGTGTGTGTTGTGGGTTGGGGGGGGGGTGACAGACAGCTCCTGATCTGGGCTGGTGGGGGGGGAGGGGGGGTGTGTGTTGTGGGTTGGGGGGGGGGGGGTGACAGACAGCTCCTGATCTGGGCTGGTGGTGGGGGGAGGGAGGGGTGTGTGTGTTGTGGGTTGGGGGGGGGGGGGGTGACAGACAGCTCCTGATCTGGGCTGGTGGTGGGGGGGAGGGGGGTGTGTGTTGTGGGTTGGGGGGGGGGGGGGTGACAGACAGCTCCTGATCTGGGCTGGTGGTGGGGGGAGGGGGTGTGTGTTGTGGGTTGGGGGGGGGGGGTGACAGACAGCTCCTGATCTGGGCTGGTGGGGGGGGGAGAGGGAGGGGTGTGTGTGTGTTTTGGGTTGGGGGGGGGGGGGTGACAGACAGCTCCTGATCTGGGCTGGTGGGGGGGGAGAGGGAGGGGTGTGTGTGGGTTGTGGGTTGGGGGGGGGGGGTGACAGACAGCTCCTGATCTGGGCTGGTGGGGGGGGAGAGGGAGGGGTGTGTGTGTGTTGTGGGTTGGGGGGGGGGGGTGACAGACAGCTCCTGATCTGGGCTGGTGGGGGGGGGGAGAGGGAGGGGTGTGTGTGGGTTGGGGGTGGGGGGGGGGTGACAGACAGCTCCTGATCTGGTCTGGTGGGGGGGGGGGGGGGGGGGGTGTGTGTGTGCTGTGTGTGTGTGTGTGTGGGGGGGGGGTGACAGACAGCTCCTGATCTGGGCTGGTGGGGGGGGGGAGAGGGAGGGGTGTGTGGTGTTGTGGGTTGGGGGGGGGGTGACAGACAGCTCCTGATCTGGTCTGGTGGTGGGGGGTGTGTGTGTGTGTTGTGTGTGTGTGTGGGGGGGGGGGGGGGGGCGAGAGCTCTGGAACTTGAGGGAAAAAATTATATATTTTCTCCTTTATTTGGGGGGGAGGAGGGAGGGCTTTGCTGACCCGGAAGCGAAGAAGCCGCGGCGCTGTGTTACATTGTTGCCACTGCAAGTGCAGCAGTGGCCGCGCGGCCGCTACACTGTAGCCATTGAGGAGGAGAGTCACTCATTCACAGAACCCGGTCCCCCACTCACTCACTCTCTCACTCGCTCTCAGCGCCTGAACCCCCCCCACCCCCCCCTCCCCCCTCTCCCCGGGGCCGCCTTACCCTCTGCTCAAGGCGGGGAGGCGTTTGGTTGGAGCCGGAAGTTTTGGTGGGAGAGAGAGAGAGAGAGTTCAAAGCGTTTTTGTGTCTGTGTCTGTGTGTGTACAGACAGACAAGAGAGGGAGGGAAGTGAAGAGCTGCAGACAGACAGACAGACAGACGGTTCTCCCCCCCCCCCCCCCCCCTCTCTCTCCCTCCCTCTCTGCCTCCACGTCAGTCGCAGTCTGAGCTCCAGCCCCAGGTAAACCTGTGTGTGAGTCTGTCTGTCTGTCTGTCTGACAGCAGCAATAATAATAATAATAATAATAATCCTTGCATTTGATATAGCTTTTTATCACGTTGTCCAGACGTCTCAAAGCGCTTCTCAGGATATACTGCAAAGTGACTGCCAGTGAGTATGATTTGATATTATAATCCCCGTATATTTTTGCCCCCCCACACGCAGCACAACAACGTCACGTCACGTCTGTCTGGCGTCTTTCGCGTCGGGAGGACGTCCCAAGGCGCTGGACAGTCAGAGTTTTCGGACCCGAGCATGGTGGCGGGGGGGGATCGGGGAGATTGGAGGGCGGGGGGAGGGAAAGCAGGGAGATCAAAAGCACGGTCGAAGAGGAGGGCCTCGAGATGGGTCTTGAAGGAGGCAAGGGAGGGGGCGAGGCGGAGGGACTGCGGGATGGAGTTCCAGAGGGTGCGGGCAGAGTAGCAGAAGGCCCGCCCTCCAATGGTGGGGCACTGCATTGGAGTGTCACCCGAGTCTGAGTTCAAACTCCTGACATGGGGATGGAACCCACAAGCTTTTGACTCAGAAGCTACTGGTTGTGCTACCAACTGAGCCAGGCTGGCACTCTGCTTCATGGAGCTGTTGGTCAATCTAGTTAAATATCCGCTTTGCATTTCTGCAAAGCTGCTACCGCACTTTTTCACTACCGTATGTCATTTTACGGGCATTTTACTTACAACACTAATAATAATAATATTTGCATTTGATATAAGCGCCTTATCACGTTTTCGAGAAGTCTCAAAGCGCTTCACCGAACATACTGTAAAGTGAATTGACTGTATTTTGTGGGCAAAACAATGTAGGAAGTGATGATTAAAATATCAACATTAAAGTGAATGTCACAATGTTCATTCCCAAACAGGACTTTATAAAACATTAAATTATAAAACATAAAGCCAGTAAGGTTTTAACATATTTGTGTATTTTTTTTCTATGTCCTCCAATAAGTTGAGTCCTGTTGCTTAGTGGTTAGAGCATTTGCCTTGCAAGCGAGTTAACCTGGGTTTGATTCCCGGGCACACAGCTCTATTTACCTAGCATAAGTAGAAACCCAGATGTTAGTCCATTGGCGGATCGCAGGTAATCATGCCTTCCAAAGATAATAATAATAATTTTGTCATTCAATCCACCACTGTTTGTGGGACACTGCTGTGCGCAATTGGTTGCCATGTTTCACTTGCAAAATATAGTCAATTCACTTTACAGTATATTTGTGAAGCACTTTGAGATGCCTCGACGACATGATAAGGTGCTACATCAAATGCAAGGATTATTCTTATAACTGAATGCTACAGTGATTGCTGCAGTTCTTACAATTTGCATGGCTTCGATTTATGTGCAAAATAAGATGGGCATAATCTATAACACTGTAAAAGTATGTTACAGTATAAGCAAATAAAAGGTCTGAGGGGGCTACGTAATGTACAATGTTCGGCAAATGTTTAGTGTATGATTCGAAAGAGGAGGTGGTTAGGTTTTATTGAGGATGATGGGCTTGCCAACAGCCAGCAGGCTTTCAGCTGTTTTGCCCCTGTTTTCTGACACCATCCTGGAGTCCATTCGACTTGCTCCCTCCCTTTCCTCGATCAAGGCCCGTTTCATGATCTACCTCTTTGACTATGCTTTCAGTCATCGTTCTCCTCATCTCCCCCACCAACCCCAGCCCGGATGGCAAGCCAATACTGTTAAGTGCTTTGAGATGTCCTCCCGACCTGAAAGGTGCAATATAAATGTAGATTTGTTTTGTATGAACTGGAAGATAATATTCTTGCTTGCAAAACTCAATCTGCATTTTTATTCAGGAATGGATAAGTGATGGAGCCTTGTAACAATTATTTTTAATCAAGTTTTTCTTAAATAAATGAACCTCCAACAATACATGTTATTGAGTGATCTGAATATTTCAGTGTGTAGCAGTTATATTTCTCTCTTGTGTAACATATCCATGTAGCGTAGCATACACGAGTGACAAGGGAATCCAGAGAGATATAGGAGAGGAGTTTAGGAGGTGTGGAGGCTCATGTGGAGTATAACCACCTACATGGACTGCCATCAGTCTATACAATTTGATGTATTCCAACTCTAGTGTTTCTGTATCTACAAGAATATCAGTGAATCAGTATTGTATATGAAAATGATCTATACAGCAAATATATATACAGAAAGTGCATCATCATAATTTGAAGATTTGAATGATTTTGATTTATAAAAGAATAATCTATAAGAGTGTGGGGATCCTTTAAGATGTCATTTTTATATTGTTTCCATCAACTGGAATGTTGTTATGTATTTATATATAATAATTTATATGTGTTTATGGAAGTTTAAACGTGTGAATGAATTGGAGATATTTTGCAGAGATTTGAAAACAGCTGGGCAGTTTCATACAATTTGAAACAAACACTTAAATTGTTTTAGAAAAACCTCAGCTGTTTTAAAAAAAAACAATGTGTGGCTTTCTTTGTAAGAAAACTGGATGTTTTTTTCACAATTGTCAAATTGTATGAAAACTGGCCAGTTGTGTGTCACCAAGATGTCTAGCTGTTTACAAAATGTATCCAACTCATTCATACATTTAAACTTCCACAAACACGTTATTGTAGCTGTAACCATTTGTGTGAAACAAATTGATTCACTTGTTTACATTCATTTAGTCAACAACAATAAATATAGGAACCACTTGGTCCAAAGAAATTGCGTCAAATCCGAAGAATTGCTCATTCTCCAGGCTTACGCAAAGAATTATTACATTAATAGTAAGATGGCAAACTAAACAACAACAACATATTACACTTGGACAGATGTCCCAGGACGCTGGACAGTCAGGGTTTTTTTTGGACTTGAGCTGGAACTTGGGATCAGGAGGGGTGGAGGGCAGAGGTTGGCAGGTGGTTGAAGGCACGGTCGAAGAGGAAGGTCTTTAGACAGGACTTGAAGGAAGCAAGAGAGAGGGTGAGGCGGAGGGATTGCGGGATAGAGTTCCAGAGTGTGGGAACAGATGCTGAATGCCCGACTGCCAATAGTGGCGCGGGAAAGGTGGAGCACCTGAAGCAGGCCAGTGTCCGCCGAGTGGAGGGACTGGACAGGCTGATATGGGGTTAGGTGATTGGAGAGTAGGGGGAGCAAGACCGTGGAGGGCTTTGAAGGTGAGAACGAGGGTTTTGTACTCGATTCTCTGAAGGATGGGTAGTCAGTGAAGCCGGGTAAGAACAGGGGTGATTGGTTCGCGGAGCCTGGTGAGGGAGAGGACATGAGCTGCAGAGTTTTGAATAATCTGCAGGTTGTGGAGAGAAGAAGTCCAGGCAGTTGGCATAGTCAAAACAACCTTTGTGCAAGTGCAAGAATCCAGCTACAGTATTGGAAATGTTTTTTTTGTTTTGATAACGTCAGTGAATCATCCAAGTTCATCAAATATATCATCATTAAATAACAGTGGTACTTGTGCAATCCTTAACTGACTGTTCCAATTTCAGAATGGTAGCTCCCATTCAGATGTGCTATTTGTGTTTATTGGGTAAATATAGATTTGAGGCTAAAGGCATATTAAATGCAAGACTTGTACATGATCACATATGAGTGGAAGCTACTTGATGATTTGATGCATTAGCACTCCACAAGTTATCAAATTCTTATTGTGTTGTTTTCCTCTTTCCTGTTTATAACTGCCGGATAAGCAAGTGGTGCAAGCACTTAAGTGATGCATTTTACCACTTGATAACCTTATGTTTGGTTTCTGCAGAATTGAGGGGCTTTGTGGGACACCACTGTAATAACATGGGAGCTGAACAGAGCACATATACTGATCATAAACATCCAGAATCTCATGTCTCAGGTACGTCAACCTCAGAGTATCATGCAACAGATTCTTGAGTGAATGCTTTTTTGTTGCTTTTTCTCTTTACCTCTCCTCCATCCTTTTCCCCTGACGGTGCTTATTTTTGTGTAGCGCTGCTTCACATCTGCCGGCCACCTTATTTTACCTCGTCATGTGTCAGCCTGGAGAATGAGCAGTGACATGTTACTATAGTGGAGGGCATCATGGCTTGATCATTATCTCACTACAGGTGCTTTCCAGCAGGGATTGATGGAAATGACACTGATTAAAGATTAAAACCTGTTATTCTGACTTGCTTTATTTATTTATTTTTGCTGAATATAGATTGATAATATTTATTTTACCTTTGGTTTCTTTTGAATTTTTAGCGAGCGAGTCAATCATAAAAATGAACGACTTCCAGGCAGTATCACGTCGTCAAGACGTTCCAAAGCACTTCAGAACAACAACAATTACATTTATATAGCGCCTTTCAAGTCAGGAGGGAGTCCCAAGATGCTGATATCACAGGATATAGAGGATTGACTGTATTTTGTTGACATAGAAGTAGGCTGTTTTACATTTTGAACATGGTCAGTGGGAGCACTTCAAAATGATCTTCCCCTGTATAACCCACTAATTCATTAAAAATGGCTGCAGAACCATGGGAATCACTATATTCTTGTTTTATCTAGCTTCACCATCTCCAGCAAAGCAGAGGGCCAAAATGGACGACATCATAGTTGTTGCCACAGGAACCCAGCAGCCTGCACGGACAACGTGGAATGATCCAGATGTAATTAAGCTGCAGGAAATTCCCACCTTCCAACCTCTGCTTAAAGGTAACGTGCTTTTTGTTTTGCTCTTAGATATTTTCCCTTCCAGCATACATTTCAAAACTTGTGGCATTTCACTTTTAAAGTAACAGTCATTAGAATGCCCACAATTACTTGTTATATATTTATAGATTTTTTTAAAAATGCTTTTATTTTTAAATAAAGTAAAAAGAAAATTTGTCACTTGCTTCAAAGCAGTCTGTGAGACATTGTTGTGCGGGAAAAAAGCTGCTGTGTCTGGCTACAAAACAAATGCAGTTATTACACTTCACAGTAAAATGCTGTCCCTAAGGCTGGCTGGCGTAATGCTTACGGAAAAGCCTGATTTACCCATTGTTTTCTTAGCTAGGGAAGAGTGGGTATTATTGGGGATGGAGAAAAAATAATGTGTCCTGTAGACTTGGATGTTAAGCCCTAACTGGCTTTTTTTTAATGCACTTTATATATAGAGATTATCAAGTTCTGTTGATAAAAATCCATGTGATCAAATTATTTGTCTCTGTTTTTCAATGGTTCACTTCCTTTTCTCAAAGATCTCAACACACTCTTACCGGCAGCATTGAAGTACGCAAGCTCAGTGTTCCGTTTGAATATACTGTAAAGTGAATTGACTGTATGTTTCGCCCACAAAATATACAGTCAATTCACTTTACAGTATATTTTTTGAAGTGCTTTGAGACATCTCGAAGACCTGATAAGGTGCTATATCAAATGTAAGGGTTATTATTATTATTCATTTCTCATGTTGAAATGACTGTTTTGGACGCCATTCTGTACAAAGCACAAAAATTGCTGTTAGCTACTCAAAAAAATTCTTTACTGGTTTACATAATTTTCTGCAATCTTACAGTCTTCTAAGTAATTTAAGTTCTAATCACCTCTAATGATGTGCTTAGTTACTCTTGCGTACCACACTGCTCCATAAATCTTACAAATCCTATGAGTTATAGAGTCTGTTTACAGTGTTAAGAGGAACATATGTGAGTGAACTGCTCTGAGGAACTAAATCATCCTCATTAGCAAGAATGTGTTTCTACGTTTGGGTAATTTTAGATACATTTGTGTCTAATTTGAAAGATGAATTTCATGGTTTTGGAGATGCAATGAACGCATTAATGCATGCAAATTGTGGTTTGTCACATAAGAAAAGAAACTACAATGGCAGAGCAATAAGCAACACAAGAGAAAATGCAGTGCCAATCATGCTGTAGGTAGCTTGTAGGACTGCCACTGATGGGAATCTCTACCTTTGGTGGTTGTGCTTGAATTTGACAGAGACATTGCTGCCGCCAGAAGCAAGGACATACCAGAGGCAGGATGAAGACATCACCGCTTAAGCAGGTGCTTCTGTCTTTGTGTCCAACTCTTTCCATGTTGCTGTGTCGGCCTGCGATGCACTTGTTTCATTTTTGCGTTGCAACAATGCAGCAAGGATGGACCATTCCCAGAGGCCTAGATTGTTGTGGTTCCCAAGGGTATCATCCTGTAGCATTATGGAGCCTATTATTGGCAGAACAAATTCCTTTAAAAATTGCTCGCTATAAAAATGGCCTCATGGAGGCAGTGTTACACAAGTGTTTCTCAGAGCAAACTGGTAGGAATAATAATAATATAATAATAATCCTTGCATTTGATATAGTGCTTTTCACGTCGGGAGGACGTCCCAAAGCGCTTCACAGAGCACACTGTAAAGTTATTTGACTGTATATTTGTGGGCGAACGCGGTAGCCAATTGCGCATAACTTTTTAATCATGAGGCAGTCAATTATGGAACAATTACTTTAAGTTAAATGTTATTTATTGTGAATCTGTTGAGCAGGTTTGAGCAACTATTGCAAATATATCATTTTTGTTATACCATTGTCTGGTTTCTTATCAGCAATCTTCAGTCTTAACTGAAGTCTGACAAGGTTTGAGGTCTCTGGCAGAATGGACTGTCAGTGAGGAATAGGAGTGGAGGGAGTGCAATGATTCACTATCCTGTTGTATTTCTTAGTGAAAATCAGAGGGNAAAAAATTGTACATTAATAAGGTCCATCATTTACAGCTTCCCTGTGTACAATGTTAACCCACTGAATCTCTCCAAGTAAGAGAGAACATTATTTTGTCGTTCTCAAATATTTTTGCTTTTACATCCCTCGAATTTAGATTTAGCAGAATAATAGTAAAAATAATAATAAAGAATAGATTTAATAGAACCCTTCTGGAAGCAAACTTTTGTTGAAATTTAAAAAAAATATTTTCAAAGGCAAAGCCAACCATTATCTTATCTCAATCATCTTTGGTTATGGTTAAGCCTTCCAAAAAAATAATATTAACAATAATTTGTTAATCCACGAATGTTTGTGGGACATTGCTGTGCGCAATTGGCTATCGCATTTCACCCACAAAAAAATAGTCAATTCACTTTACAGTATAGTCTGTGAAGCTGAACAACTCTATAAGGTACTATATCAAATGCAAAGATTATTATTATTCATTATTATTTGAGAGGCTTAATTGTTTTTCTCTGATACCTGATTCCCAACAGTAAACACGATGTAGACATTCCACTAAGCAGTGTATTGGCCTAACAGGGCATTAAGCTTTTATGGTATGTCCTAACAAGAACAACTTGCTCTTGGTATTTATACAATGCCAAATAACTGTGGCGCGATGTCACAGTAAAATATTTACAATGGCTGAAGTGAGCTGGAACTCTTCAATTGCTGTGCAGTGACCCCTCCTGGAAAACTAGTCAAAATATTAACTGTGACTTTAATTTCTCACACAGCTGAATAGACTACTGGTTCCACATATGAAGAATAGCCATTTGGGTGATATCCCAGAAGCGTGCCTTAACTATTGCTGTATTTCACCAGAGCAATGTTGCCACATAAGATTTTGCTGCTCAGTCTATTAAACGCGCACTCTTTTTATCCTGCAGAGGGCACTAATTCTTTTCTCCTAATAGAATAAAAGGTCATCTGCTGGTTGTGTGTTTTGCTCGCATCCATTTGATTTCTGTCATGCGTGGTAGTGTGATCATGATTTTCTTTTGGACTGAATCGGTGACCAGTTGATAAAAGCTTCTTAAATTACTTAAAGTGCATTCAAAAACTGAATTTTATCCACCGGCTGTGCAAGTAAAAAGTACTCTGCAGTCTTTATCCAAAGTTGTTGCTTTTATTTTATTTTGTCCACAAGATACACAATCACTGCAATTTACAGTTTATCCTGTGAAGCGCATTGAGACGTCTCGAAGACGTGATAAGGCACTATATCAAATGCAAGGATTATTATTACCATTGCTCACCAGGCATATTTGTTTTAATACAAGGTTGCCCATTTGTTTGCCTGATGTTTTGTTTATGCCATGAACAGGGGAATTGACAACAAATTTATATAGTGCCTTTCATGTCAGGACGACATCCCAAGACACTGGACAATCCATAGCTGAAGGAGGTTGTGGCTGAGGGAGGTGGAGGGAGGAAAGATGCCCAAAGATGCAATCAAAAGAAAGTTCTTGAGTCATGCAAGAGTTCAGTGGTTCAAGCTGTAATGAAATTATGCCATGGGTTTGCAAAACAGTTCTCGCTCAAGGAAGACTCTTGGTTGATGTACAACAACAACAAAATTACATTTATAGAGCGCCTTTCACGTCGGGAAGATGTCCCAAGGGGCTGGACAGTCAGGGGTCAGGACCCGAGCATGGGGGAGGGGTGGGTTAGGGGGAAGGGAAGGTAGAGAGGTGGGAGGGCGACTGAAGGCACGATCGAAGAGGAGGGTCTTGAGACCGGCCTTGAAGGAGGCAAGGGAGGAAGTGAGATGAAGGGACTGTGGGATGGAATTCCAGAGGGTGGGGGCAGAGGCTGAAAGCCCGGCCACCGATGGTAGGGGGGGTCGGGCAAGAGACATGGAGGCAGGCCAGAGCCCGCTGAACGGAGGGGGCGGGCAGGCAGTGGCAGAGTCTGGCAATGTTGTGGTAGGCAGTGCCAGTCATGGCACTGCCTACCGTCAGGACGCCAGAAGTCCTGGAGTTGAGGGTGGAGGCAGAGAGATAGAGTTGGATGTCATCTGCATATATGTGGAAATTTACCCCATGTCTGCAGATGATGTCTCCAAGTGGGAGCATGTAGAGGGTGAAGAGGAGGGGACCATGGACATAGCCCAGAGGAACACAGCAAGAACGCTGTACCCTCCTCCCCATGACTGTGAAGCACTGAAAAGATTTAATTTAAAAAAATCTTATTCTATTCTCTTTTTTTTGATGGGGAGTGGGGGGTGATGTGCACCAACATTACTTTGCACAATCCATCAAAAAGCTACACAGAAAATGTTTTAACTGTACATGTTAAAGAGGAAGGTATGATGGAGACTGGAAAATGGAATTCAAGTGGTTTTACCTGCCTGCACCTAAATGTGTTCCTATCAAAATGCTCCATGTTAATATTCTTAATCTGAAATATTTCTCAGAAAACTATACCCCTACTATCTGACTTTTAAACATATGCAAGATGAGCCCTTCCTTTATCATGGAGCATTTTGATATTGGCTACCTCATCAGCTCTGCCATTAGCATTGCGTCTGATCTAGGCATTGGGTCGAGATGTCTTATTATCATAATAATAATAATAATAATAAGAATAATCATCATGCTTGCATTTGGTATAGCGCCTCAACACATCTTCGAGACGTCTCAAAACGCTTCACAGAATATACAGTAAAGTGAATTGATATATATTTTATATTTGTGGGCGAAACGCGGCTGCCAATTGCACACAGCAGTGTCCCACAATCAGTCGAGGATTGAAGTGACCAATTTATTATTATTAGTAGTTTTGTTAATGAGCTTCAAACGCCTTCCTACTCATTCATTGCTTCACTGGTGTTTTGGAGGGCGAGTGGCAATGAATGGGTTTAAATGAGTAAGAGTTCTATATCACTTCAGAGAGACTTTCCACTGAAAGTTTTCAATGTTGTTAAACTCATTTTGGTTTAGCTGACATTTCCAAGAAGAGCCTGGG